TTTTGTCTACATTGACATGAATCAGCCATGGATTTACATGTATTCCCCATCCCGATCCCTCCTCCCACCTCCCTCTCCACCCGATCCCTCTGGGTCTTCCTAGTGCACCAGGCCTGACCATTTGTCTCATGCATCCAACCTGGGCTGGTGATCTGTTTCACCCTCGATAATATACATGTTTCAATGCTGTTCTCTCGGAACACCCCACCCTCGCCTTCTCCCACAGAGTCCAAAAGTCTGTTTTGTACATCTGTGTCTCTTTTTCTGTTTTGCATATAGGGTTATCATTAACCATCTTTCTAAATTCCATATATATGTGTTAGTATACTGTAATGGTCTTTATCTTTCTGGCTTACTTCACTCTGTATAATGGGCTCCAGTTTCATCCATCTCATTAGAACGGATTCAAATGAATTCTCTTGAATGGCTGAGTAATATTCCATTGTGTATATGTACCACAGCTTCCTTATCCATTCGTCTGCTGATGGGCATCTAGGTTGCTTCCATGTCCTGGCAATTAGCAACAGTGCTGTGACGAACATTGGGGTGCACGTGTCTCTTTCAGATCTGGTTTCCTCGGTGTGTATGCCCAGAAGTGGGATTGCTGGGTCATATGGCAGTTCTATTTCCAGTAAAAAACTGTTAAAATTTTTTAATTGCTCAGTTGTACCAGCCACACTTCAAGTGCTCAATAGCTACGTATCAGCTAGTGCCCATTAAATTGGACATTGTAATAAAGAGTAGTTCTGCCACTGTCGAAAGTTCTAGTTATCAGTGATGCTCCAGGGGTCAGCAAACTATACCAGAGATTCACCTCTTGTTTTTCTAAATAAAGTTGTATCAGAATATAGTTATGCCCACCCATTTACATATTGTCTAGGGATGCTTTAGCATGACAGTGGCATAGTAGGTAGCTGCAACAGAGACCTTATGGTCTACAAACCTAAATTATTCGCTATCTGGCTCTCTGAAAAGATTTGCTGATCCTGCTATAAATCATAAACCCTGAACAAGAGGGCCATATCGGTTCCTGTTGACTGCTGTACATAACTCAGTTTATATTTAATGAGTACCTAATATGTAGCTTCCCTCGTGGCTCAGATGGTAAAGAGTGCGCCTGCAATGTGGGAGGCCAGGGTTCGATCCCTGGATTGGGCAGATCTCCTGGAGAAGGAAATAGCAACCTACTCCAGTATTCTTGCCTGGAAAATCCCACGGACAGAAGAGCCTAGAGGACTACAGTCCATGGGGTTTCAAAGAGTCGGACACGACTTAGTGACTGACACAATATGTAGCACTGACATAATATGTAGCACTGTCCTGGGCATTGAGGCAGCAGCCTTGAATGACACAGAAAATGTCCCTGTTCTCACGGTGTTCACAATCTGGTGAGCTGTTCAGGTAACACAACCAGAAAGGAAATAAGAATATACAAGGCAAGACTGAAGACTAAGATAAGAATAAAACAGAAGGCAGGGGTGTGACTGAGGGGCAACTTCCACTTGGGTAATCCGAACAGGCCTCTGGGAGACCCCAAGACAGGAATGACATGGAAGAATCAACACTGCAAAGATCTGCGGCAAAAAACGAGACAACAGCAACACCAAAGCCTCAGAACAGGATGAATCTGATGACGCAATGTGTGAAAAAGAAGGCCCCTGTGGCTGGAGAATATACAAACAAGAGAGAGGAGGCAGATGAGGTAAGGGAAGCAGGGAGGGCTAAAAAGAGGAGCTTCAATTTTATTCCGAATATGACAGAAAGTCACAACACGGTTTTACACCGTTGGCAACATGATCAATTTACATTTTTGAAGATCACTCTGGCGCTTCTAAATGGTGGCTGGGTCAGGTAAAAGCAAAAAAGGTGTTAGACAAGTTAGGAGATTTCTGCAAAGGTTCAAGTGAGAGATGGTTTGGCTTGGACTACAATGACAGCAGTGGAGATGAAGTGAAGAAATTCAAGGTATGTTTTGAAGTGACAGTGGACAAGCCTTTCTGATGGTTGTTGTAGACTGAGGAAATAAATACCAGATTTTTGGCTTAAACAATTGGGACAAAGTAGTATGAATTACAAACACAGTGGGAAGTACAAACATAAGAGCTAACATATGCTAATATTCACTCAATTTCACATTTAATTTTTCTATCTTGAGAGTTAGGTACTATTGTTATTTTCATTTTACAAATAGGAAACTGAAAAGGCTGAGTAACTGACCTAGATTTGAAGGCTAGTACAAACACAATGTAGACTTGAACCAGGTCATCAAACTCCAAATTTCACCACACTGTGCAAAACTGCCTTATCAATGGTAGTTTCTAGGAATATGAACCATATTCTAGACAACAGCAGTATCACTGGATTTTAAGTTTCAGGATGACTAGTTTGAAAGATGCTATGGTTTTGCTTGTCCTTCAGAGACTATTATTTAAGATCAACTTGTTTTCATAAAGTAAAAGATGTAATAGTCTGCTACATACACATTTCAAAGCACTTTCACCACTATATTCTCTTTGATACTCCTTTTACAAATGAGGAAACTAAAGCAAGTGATTTCCTCAAGATCACCTGGATAGTAACAGAGATAGGACTAAAAGCCAAGTGAACCCATTCCATACAGTAGTCTGGCCAATAAGATTCTCTTTAAAAATGCTGAATATTCAGTGAGAAACACATTTTACCCCACTACCCAAATGCACATACATATACATAAATGAAACAGAGCAAAAAGTCATACAAAGCAATCTTTACCCCTTAAAACTGTGCTATTACTTTCTGTTCTATTTCATTTTTTTAAATGCTGACTGCATTAAAATGCTGACTGACAATTTCATCAACACTGGTCCAAGTTTCAGTAATTAACAGTACAACAGCATAGTAGACATTTTAAGAAATAAGTCTCATGATTCACTAGGACTACCAAGCACTAAAAGGGTAAGAGGAAACATAAAAAAGATCAGTCCGTTGAGTATTTGGGATACAAGAAGATTGTAGTCCGTGAGAGTGTAATGGCAATGATTCCGAGTTACAATTTGGAAATACTATTTTATTATAATTAATTACTATTGCTATGGAGGTCTCAAATCAAACAGATACACCTACTAACATTTAAAACAGGCAGAGATGCACATTTCTGGGAAAATATTAAAAGAAAAATATATAATATTATATGTTAAAATATTAAAAGAAAAAATATAAAAAACAGTTGTTCCAATAAACACAGGTCTTCAATTTTACTTTTGCCCTAAAGGGAGTAAAAAGCTGTAGAAAGACCAAGCAGGCAAAACCTATTTCCTTTTTTAAAAATGAAAAGAAAAAGACTGGAATGATAGTGTGACAAATCATTACGTTTTATAATGCAGGACAAAACTGGCTTAAGATGCACAACAATCTTTCCTTTATTGGACAAATACTTCTTGATTGATCAAGTTACTCTCATGCTTTCTTGCTTAATTACCATTAGTAAAAAAAAAAAGGATGAGATGTGTTCTGGCATACAAATACTTTATTTTCCCAAATTCCTTAAGTTTAAAGAATAAAAATTGCTTTTAAACTATGTTGATTGCTGAATATTCATACAATGCCAACCTAGTCAATTCTCTCTCTCCCTCTCTCTCTGCATCTCTGAAGGGGAAGAGAGACAAGGACAAACCGCAGCCTCCATACATCAAATACAAAGCCAGCACTACAGCAGATACATCATCAAGTTCACTGACACTCCTAGACGGCTCTGCAACAGGGTCAAGGTCCCTGGATGCTCACACAAACTCCTCACTCCGCACCAACCTCACTTCTTTCCTACTGACCTCCAGGCAACCCAGGATTCTGCTGGGCAGTCATGAAAGGCAGTAAGATCCAGACAACCAGGGAGCCTGCGTAGCCCTTTAAGGTTCCAATGATACAAATGCATTGAGGCATTCCTCAAGATGTTTCTTAAGGATGACTTAGATTATCCCTCTAGTCCCATTCCGCCCCCCCCCCCCCCCGCAACAGAAGCTGGAAGGTCACCACCAGGACACAGAGCAAAAACGGCCAAATATCAGAAGGGGGAGGGGAGAAGCGAAAGCAGAAAAGGCTAGAAACACCCAAATAAATTCCTCTGAGAGCCAAGCCGCAGAGGCCGGCAGCTCGCGGCCGGCTTGCACTTGCTGAGGGAACCATTCCAAAGAAACCTGACCCGATCAGAGTCAGCACGCCGCTCGGCGGCCACGTTTATCCTAAAGGAACGCTACAAGTTGTTGCCCGCATCCTTGCTCCCGGCTTTGACAGGGGCCGCGCGCGCCGCCCGCAACCCGGCCCCGCGGAGCCCCAGGGGCCAGCGGACCAGCGCAGGGCGCGGGCCCCTCCGTCGCCGCCCACCCGCCGCCTCCAGTCCGGTTCCCAGCCGAACTGGACCTCCGCGTCCCCGGGCGTCAACCGTTAGCATCCCCCGCACAGCTGCAAAGGCTGACCACCGCCTCGCAGTGACCCGGGGTCATTCCGGGTCTCGTTCCCTGGCCCGCAAGCACCCCACCCGGCCGCTCCTCGCCCTGCAAAACCCCGCGGAGCGGCCGCGTCCAGGTGAAGGACTGAGAGCCCCACGGGTGCCGCTCTCCGGCCGCCTACCTTCCCAACGCACGGTCGCCGCGCCAGGGCGGACGCCTCGGCCCTGGCGATCTCGGAGCTGACCCCGTCAGGGGCCGATGAGCGCCGGAGGGACCTCGGGGAACCCCGGGGCCGGGGGCGATGGCGCAAAAGCGGCCCGCGCGCCCCGCCTGAGGGAGGAGGGCGGCGGATGAGGACGGGGAGGGCGGCCGCCCGGCTCGCTAGGGGAGCGACATTGACTCTAGACGCGACGAGCCCGGGGTGCCGGGGTGACCTGGGGAGACGGGAAGGCGGGCATGGCCTCGTACAGACGCGGCGGGTCTCGAGCCTCGAGCGTTAAATATCCGCGGCGTCCGGCCCGCGCAGCGGCGGAGGGCGCGCGCCGGCGGCGGCGGGGCCCCGCTCGGCGTCCTCACCTTCTTCGTACCGGAGCCGCCTGCGAGCCGAGACACTCCTGTCAGGGAAGAGGAGCGCCCCGGCTGCCCCCCTAGAGTCTCCTGCTGGGGGGACATCGCTTCCATGAAGAGCACTTGAGAGCAAATCCCAGCCCAGGAGGAGGTTACGCGGGCATATCCGCGAGACGGCGGCCGGACAGGCGAGGGCGCGCGGGACCGAGACGGGCGGCCGCGCTAGGCGGCGAGCCGGGCTCCGGGGACGAGCCGCGCGCCTCCCGTCGGGGCCATGTACCGCCGCCCGCGCTCAGCACCGAAGCTGCAGGGTTTGCCGCGGCGACCGCCCGTCAGCTCCGCAGCCGCCCCGCCTCGGGCCCGCCCCTCGGCGCCAGGCGCCCAGCGCCGGGCCCGCCCCCGGCCGCGGCCCACACAGCGCCGACCCTTCCCGCGGCGCGCTGGGCCTCGCGCCCTCCTAGATATTATATTAGGGCGCGGGCGACCGACTGACCTTCTCGGTCCGCGCCTCCGAGTGCAGCCGGCTCACCGGGCGCTGTCACGAACGCGGGCCTTTAGCGCGTTCGCGCGCCTCTTCAGGCGCTCGAACCACTCGCACCCGACTCCATCCCTTCCCGCGTGCGGCGGCGCGGCTGTGGCGACCTCAGCCTGAACGGAGTCGTGGCGGCGACTCCTGCCTCGCTCTCGGCAGACAGCGGAGGGGTCCCCCGCCCCTCCCCCGGCGGGGAGGCCGGGGACGAAGGCGCACGTCGCAGAGGGTGGCACAGTGGAAGCCCGCGGTCCCGCACGCTAGCCAGCTGCCCGACCGGCGCGGGCCCTGCAGCCCCCGCACGATTTGCACCCCGCCGGCAGCCCCCGCACGATTTGCACCGGCGGTTTCCCCTGTCTACGGGCTGCAGAGACCCGGGCATTCCAAGCGTGTAAGCGCAATTAAGGAAAATGCGGCAGAGAGAGGACTCTGAAATTTGGCTTAGCTGTTGAGAAGGCTACAATATGTGGAAGTGTTTATCAGATATCTGCGCTGAGAGCATAACTTCCTGTCAGCCCAAATAGTGGCAAATTTTTTAAAGGCCAGAGAATAATCAGAGGGAAGGGATTTGGAGCTGACTCGGGCTGAGTTGGGTACTGCCGCACGTTGCAGGACTGGCTGACTAGGGAGGCTGGTTCGGTAGGTGGCATTCTTCTCCTGGAGTCGACTCCATAAAGGATGGTTTGGTGATGAAGGACACAGCTCGAGGATACTAGCTGGTGGAAGAGGTTTGTTTTTGTGGTAAGAAAAAACAGATAGAGGCTCCTGCCGGATTGGACTGTTACCAGGTCAGATTATAGAAGAACAGGGTTCTGGCCAGCTCTATTCCAAAGCAAAAGTTGCTGTCCAAAACACACCCACACATTACCATCACCACTAACCCCGAAATTGTTATTGTGGAAATAAGGGGAGAAGATGAATATTCCAGTCCATTTCATGCCTTGCACATATCACATTGTTTAAAGTAGGCTTGTTACGCCGGCTTTGTAAATCACACACACACACACAAAGATATATATATATATATATATATATATTTATGTAAATTATATACACCCATACAGACACAGATTTTCAGGGTGACTCTGCTGCTTAGAGCCATGTCCAGACAGGGCTTCGCACTCACCCTTGAGGTTTTTTGGAATTTTACACTTTACACTGCAGAGGGTTTTGCAGCTCTTTTCATTTCTTGTTGAAATCATGCTATTATGATTCCTATCTTGAATGGGTGATTTCAGTTTTTCTTACTGTTCCATTTTTTAATTTCAAGAATTAAAAAAATATTTAATGTAATTTACATGTTATGTTTAAGGTTTATTGTCTTCTAGAGAGGAGGTCTCTTTGTTGTTGTTGTTCATCCCAAGTGCCTAGAGCCGTGCCTGGCACATTAAATGTTGATTCAATAAATGAATGAGACACAAAAGGGATGTGAGATAGATCCGGAAGAGCCAGGCTACACTTGATTATTTCACTGAGTGTGTGCTCAGTAGCTAAGTCGTATCTGACTCTTTGCAATCCCAGGGACTGTAGCCCGCCAGGCTCCTCTGTCCATGGAATTTCCCAGGCAAGAATACTCAAGTAATATCCTTGAAACGATCTTCCTGACCCAGGGATCTAACCCATGTCTCCTGCTTGGCAGGAGACTACTACTACTGAGCCAGGAGGGAAGCCTCATTTCACTGAGAGCCTTGTGTATTATCAGGTGTTTATTTTGAGATAAATACCTCATGCTCGAAGTCAAAGTAGTATTTATATTGCATATAAGTAAGTAAGTGAAGTCGCTCAGTCGTGTCTGACTCTGCAACCCTACCAGGCTTCTCTGCCCATGGGATTTTCCAGGCAAGAGTACTGGAGTGGGTTGTCATTTCCTTATCCAGGGGATCTTCCTGACCCAGGGATCGAACCTGGGTCTCCTGCATTGTAGGCAGACGCTTTACTGTCTGAGCCACGAGGGCAGTCCCTATATTGCATATATGGGAAACCTACTTTCATTTCTTACTTTCTGAGTGCTTTTATTTCAAAATCCATTGGTTTTGATTTGCATAGAAAACCATCCTACCCCTCTCCTATAAGGAGTTTGGAGGGAGGTCTCACTTCCTAAATAAAATTGAGTTTGCTCAGATTAATATGATCATCAGTGTAATGATTGAAGAACACAAATCAGATCATATCACTTCTCTGCTAAAACTTTCTTTGGCTTTCTGTGTCTATGGAATGAATATCAAATGTTGTACTACAGATGTCAGTACAATCTAACACCCTTGTCCTCAGTAGTTTGTTTTTCCTCATTTCTTACGCCTTTTCACCTCTCGCCCTTTTCTCCCTCTCATTGAACTTATCTTGATCTCTCACAACTTCATGACTTTGAACCTGCTGTTCCCATTGCCTAGGAAATTTTACTTCCATATTTTCCAACCTCTTGCTTTAAACTTACTTATCTAGTGCAGGGTGCATAGTAAATAATCAATGAATATTTGTTACAGAAATAAATCTTCAACACTTACCATTAATAATTAAATCAGGGAAATCTTCCTGACTTTAGTCTTCTTTAACCTCCACACACCAATCACCACACACACGGGGTTAAGCACACATTCTGCAGTAGTAACAGATAATGTTTATTGAGTGCTTACTTCATACGACACTATTCTAAGCATTCTACACATACCAAGTTACGTAAATCTTCATAAACATCCTACAGGATAGATTCCTCTCACCTTACTTTGCAAATGGAGAAACCAAGCCACAGAGACCTTAACTTGTTAAACAGATGGTAAGTAGGGAAGCCAAACCTGGAAAAGCTGGGGAATTTGCTTCAGAACCACTTAACCATTCCTTTTAACCACTTGTCTATACTGCCTCTCCTGTGTATGGTTTCTTCTCTTTATAACACATAACACATTGTACTCTTATCATCTATTTTACTTGCCTATAAGCTCTGTGAAATTGAAGGTTAGATTTATTTTCCTTTTCTTCTTTGTGCCAGGCACACAATTATACTTTCAATGACTTTTTTGATGATTTACCTTTGAATGAATGAAGAATTAGAAACAACCATCCTACAAGGAAGATGCTCTGGTGGGGAGGAAACAGTCCTAGGCTAGTCCTGTCATTCCTTAGACAGTAAAAACCATTTCCCCTGTCCTGGGAATGTTATGTTGTAGAAAAGGGTGATGCCAAAAAACAAAAGTGATGACAAGGCAGTTGAAGGAGTGTGATGACAATGCCTTGACACAAGCAGGATGTATCCAGAATATTTTGAAACAAACCATAAAGCAAAGTTCTAAAAATAGCAACATTTAACAGCTGGGAAATACCAATAGCAGACCTTTAATAGAAACCAATCTAAGAATGAAACCAAAAGGTTTTGCCAACTATTAGATTGACTAACAGTGAAAAAGTTTAGCTATAAAGAGAGATATCTGTGGAACTTGTTCATTCAATGTGTATTTACTATGTGCCTGCTATGTGCCAGACACTGTGACAGGTGCATGGAATATGGTCAAGATGAGTTCACAGGTGTAGTCCTTGTAAGCCTCAAAATGCACACAAGAATGATAGGCAGTGTTATCCAAATATCCTAGAGCTGAATTGTAAATGGATGGCCTACAAAGTGAATTCAGGCATTTTTCAACATAAACACCTTTTTTTTTCAAACTTATTGCGAACCTTAAAAATCAAGATAATTTACATAAAAATTTAGGTGCTCTTGAAATATTAGAAACACTCAGCTCATTTTCTGCAAGGCAACAATCAGCTAAAACTGAGTTGTATTTGTTAATTACATTTCATGTTCACAACAACTCTATGATTGTCATGGGCTTCCCAGGAGGCGCTAGTGGTAAAGAACCTGCCTGTCAATGCAATGGAGGAGACATAAGAGACGCAGGTTTGATCCCTGGGTTGGGACAATCCCCTGGAGGAGGGCACAGCAACCCACTCCAGTATTCTTGCCTGGAAGATGCCATGGACAGATGAGCCTGGCAGGCTATGGTCCACAGGGTCGCAAAGAGTTGGACACAACACAACTGAAGTGACTTAGCATGCACGCACACGTGATTGTCAAGTCACCACTGTCCCTGATGTCGGGGAACCACTGAAAGGTAAGACAATGGAAGAGGAAAAACTGGCAAGAGAGGGAGAGAACAGGAAAGAGAAGAATGAGAAACACCATGCATGTGTGTGTGTGTGTGTGTGTGTTTAAAGCCAAAGTAATAAGCTTTTTTCAACAAGAGAGAAGATGGGCAGTGTCTAGTGTTGCAAGAGATCAAGCCCTCTTTGAGGTGACTAGGAGCCTTGATAGAAGAGAGCTTTTGACTTTAATTATCAAGATCAGATGTGGGGCTTTCTTAATCATCCTTGGTTAGAATCTCAAAAGGGGCTGTTTCCTTACAGAACAAATCCCAGTTCTAAGGTGGAAACTTATGAAGTAGGAGGCATAGGAGTTAGAAAAAGGGGGAAGGAAAAGAGAGAGAGCTCAGACTAGGAAAGAAGCTAGGGGCCAGACTACGAAAGGACTTGGGCTGTGTGGTAAAAATTTGGTTATTTTCCAGGGAAAGTGGTAAAAAGGGAACTGGCACCTGTTAAGTACCTACCATGTATTATCCATTATCTCATTTAACCTTGACCATTACAAAGATGTGGCAATTATTATGGTGGTGTGGTGGTTTAGTTTCGAGTTCATGCCCAACTTTGTTGCAACTCCAGGGACTATAGCCCACCAGGCTCCTCTTTCATGGGATTTCCCAGGCAAGAATATTCATGTCAAAGTATGGCAAAAACCACTACAATATTGTAAAGTAATTAGCCTCCAACTAATAAAAATAAATGAAAAAAAACAAAAAACAACAACAACAACAAAAAAGAGAATGAAAAAAAAAAATTTGAGTGAGTTGTCATTCCTCCTTCAGGGGATCTTCCTGACCCAAGTGTCAAACTTGCGTCTCCTGCTTGGCAGGCGGATTCTTTACTGAGCCACCTGGGAAGCCCCAGGTATTATTATACTTACTTTAAACATGAAGATAAGACTCAGTTGTTAAGCAGATTTCCGAGATCACAAAACCAAAAAGTGATGGAGCCAGGATTTAAATCTAAATCTGATTGAATCCAAAGACCATACACTT